ACAAAGAATTCCTTTGTTATTGTTCGAGCAGATCGAATTCCCAGCTCAAGGTCAGAATACACAATTAGTTAATTAAAAGAACGCCGATCGCGCTCAAAAAAGGTTACAAACGGGGAAGGAGAATGTCAACAGGGGCCAAATGGGGAAGCACTTGAGAGGAGGGCGTGGAGAATTCCAAGCGTTGACCGGCTGGATACAACACCGCCCGCCAATTCTCCACGTCCGGCTCTTGTAAATGTTCTACGTGTTTGGAGGTATACGGCTGCTCTGACCCTCAAGTAGACAAATCTTCCTAACGAACCTTTTTAAGAGACCGCCCGCCGTCCTAATATATACCGTCCTAACGAGGCCGTCGCGAATCCTTTCGCACCTATCTATTACTCCCAAAGGCCAATTCTCACGAGGTGTGCGCTCCCCAGAAACTAAAACAACATCACCTGGTTTCAGTTCCGCGGCTTCTCTTGTCCATTTTGTTCTTTTCTGCAGACTTGGAAGATATTCTTTTACCCATCGTCTCCAGAACACGCCAGCGAGGTAGTGCACTTGTTTCCATCCAGCGTGGTACCGTGCCACCAATTCGTCACCGCTAGGCAGCACTTGACAGTTCCTCATCAACAATAAGCTATTCGGGGTAAGCGGTTCCAAGTCGTTGCTGTCTGATGTTAGCGAGACAAGCGGTCTATTATTCAATATACGTTCAGCCTGCACGAAGAGGGTGCCGAGCTGTTCGTCAGTTAGGGACTGCTCCTTACAGAGGGCAAGAAGAATCCGTCGTAGAGACCTGATCATTCGTTCCCAGATGCCTCCCCGATGGCTGGCAGCGGGTGGGTTAAAATGCCACTGTATCTCTAGAGTTAGCAGTTGGTCCGACACTCTCTTTTGGTCCCAATTGTGTAAGTCCTTTCGGAGTTCTGCTACCGCTCCAACAAAATTGGTTCCGTTGTCACTGTAGATGTCAGTGGGACGTCCGCGTCTACTCACGAATCTCATCAGACACTAAACAAAAGAATTCGTGGTCAGGCTGGTGGCTATCTCAAGATGAACGGCTCTCGTCGGTATGCAGCTAAACGCACAACCATAGCGTTTCTCCGAAGATCGTCCGCGTTTGACCATCAACGGACCAAAACAGTCCACCCCAACGCACTTGAAAGGATACCAACCGACTTCTGTTCTATTTAAGGGAAGCGGGAACATCATCTGCCCCTGAAGTTGTCGAAATTTACGTCTGCAAAGTAAACATCTACCGATGACACGTTTGACATAAGCGGTTCCTTTTAGAATCCAGAACTTTTGGCGGATTGCACCTAGAACTTGGGCTGTCTTACAATGGCCTTCCAATTCATGAAAGTAATGTATGATTAATTCCGTCACGGGATGATTGTATGGGAGGATTGACGGGTGTTTTAACGATTCACAAAAATTTGAGTAGGTCAGGCGACCACCAACGCACATTACTCCTTCAATCAAAACCGGACATAACTTTCTCAGGCCAATATTTCTCACAGACTTTCTTTTCTGGCAATCTGCTGGTGTAGACTGCAGAATATCCAATTCTGCTGAAAAGTGTTTCCTTTGTATAAGCTTTATCAAGTTAATGCTAGCTTGGCGCATTTCCGATACTCGGATAGGACCCAACATCAGCGTCTCCTTAGGTGCCTTGCCAGTGGTGACTCTGACGTACTGCTTGAAACGCAGGAGCCAGACCACAGCCCTTTGTAGCCTTGTCCAACTTGAAAAACGCATAACTAGTTCGTCTAAACCATCACATTGATTTAATACATGAACTTGGGCTGTTGTCCTCTTGAATTCCAAGTCTTCAGGTTGTCCTACGGGAGGTTGTACAAACCATTCGCCTTCAGGTTGAACTAAAAATTCCGGACCGTCCAACCATCTACGTACCAGCGCAAAGTTGCACGTACCTCGAGAAGCAATGTCTGCTGGGTTGATGTCCGAACTCACGTATCTCCACTGAGAGGTCGGAGACAGATCATGTATAACCGTCAGTCGGTTGGCCACAAATGTGCAGAACCTGGTTGATTCATTGTGTATATAATAAAGGACTATCATAGAATCGGTCCAGAACGTTATTGTTTGGAAGTACCTATCGGTGCTTGAACGGATGAGATCAGCCACGCGCACAGCCAGAGTAGCAGCTGCCAACTCTAAACGTGCTATAGAGACGGCTTTGAGGGGGGCAACGCGGGCTTTCGAATAAACGAGTGAACAATGTAAATTTCCTGTGTCGTTAATAAAGCGAGCATATGCTACTGCACTGTATGCTACTTCCGAGGCATCACAAAACACGTGCAGTTCGGCTCGCATCGGATCGCTGATATCTTTGGGCTTTAGACATCGGCCCAGCTGAAAAGTCTTCAGGCTCCGTAAAGTTGAGATCCAGTTTTCCCAACGAGAGCTCTCGATGCCGGATAGTTTTTCATCCAAATTCAGTCCGTTTTTGCATAAGGATTGCAGTAAACACTTCCCTGGTATCAGCCAAGGCGAAACGAAGCCCAGAGGGTCATAAAGTGAGGACAAACAGGACAAAATACCCCTACGAGTGGACGGTTTTGCGGGCATATTGAAACTTATCATCAGAATATCGGAATGCGTATCCCACTGCAACCCCAAAGTTCTTTCAGAAGGTAGGGGGTTGACGGCAATATCTCGCATACCAGAAGAGCGTTCAGTCGCACTAACGACCGAGAGTATACGCCGGTCATTAGAAGCCCAGTTTCGCATACGAAAGCCGCCTTGAGAGAGAAGTTTACAAATTTCGTCCACAAAACGTTTGGCTGAATCGACATCACATAACGAGACTAGACAATCATCAACGTATATACTCTGGTGAATCGCTCTGCAAGTTGATGAAGAGTAAGATGAACCGAAATCTCCAACAGTTTTTTGCAACGCAAAGGTGGCACAAAAGGGCGAAGAAGTCAATCCGAATGGGTGAGATGTCCACTG